AATAGAAAATATCTATCTATTTCAATAAAAAACTTGAAAACATCTTTAAAAACTAGCTTTGCCCAAATTTCTCTTGCTGCCCAAAAAATCTGAATTGCCCAAATTTTGGGCAAACGTTGTGCGAGTGAAGGGATTAAGAATAGAGATGAATTTTTAGATTATGATGTTTGGTAAAAATCAACTAGAATACGCTTCCGCGGTGTCTGCAAACGATTTTAACCTAATAAATACACTATTCTTTATCACTGATTCGTTTGGAATTCCAAAAGGAAAGAGAGGCTTGAAAATCTACCATTTGTTTTCATTCTCAGATCTACCAACCAACACTGTTCTCTCAGTATTTCCAGACAGCAGCGAAGTGTTTGGAGGAAGTGTCTTATATGAGAAATGCAGCACAGATGCCAGACCTGATCCTCACATTTTTCTCTTATACTTCAATGGAAATTTTATCAGTAACAGTAGCTCAGGGGAGTTTAATGTCACAGCTTACAGCGATGGAGTATACACATGTGCTCCTATTAACACAGTTGGTTCGGGAGACAATGCATCGTTTAGCGTCACTATTTTTGGTAAGAATCCATCAGCGTTGTTGATAGGCTTTCTTAATGAAATCTACATAATGCACCAATTACAGCTTTACTCCACATGGCAGTATGTCTGGTAAGTGATAGAGCAAATGTGACTTGAAAGTGTGGTTCATGTTAAAATGTGCCACGAATCCAGTGTGCCTCTAGCATTCGTATCTTATTTGGGCGTCTCCTGTCTTCTCTTGAGCAACAAGCAGTCTATGCTACCTTGTGCTTTCAAATCGTCGGTAAAAGCCATTTAAAATTTGTCTCAATTAGCCTGTAAAACACTTTGTAATAACTTTTCATTTTCACCAAAACCAGGCAAGGCTACGATAGGTTTGGAACCCAGAAACGTCACAGCATTGGTAGGTGAGGCCACATCGCTGAAGTGCCTTGCTCATGGGAATCCTCCGCCAACTATTACGTGGGCTCGTCATGGCATTGGAAATGGTTCAGAGCTCTTTTTTCCTTCAGCGAAATTCTCTGACAGTGGGTGGTACAGATGCGTAGCTACAAATGCTTATGGAGTCTCTTTTAGTCCACTTGCATACCTCGATGTAACCGGTAAGGTACTTGACCCTTCTTGCGGCAGAATTAAAATCGTTAGATTTTAAGCGGTTTTAAGCAATTTCATCGGCTCTTTTTACTCCTTAGACAGTGCCAGTACCTTCATAAATGGGAGAATGACAATATTAAATGAAAATTTTGATAATGGCTTGGAAAATCCTTCAAGCGCAAGATATCAAACCCTTAAGAGGCAGTTTGTTGAGGCGGTAAGTGTTTGAATTATTGATTTTATTGTTAACCCTTTCACTCCCAAGATTGTATTTAGAATTCTCCTAACTGCCTGCCATACAATAATTATGATGTTAGTTCTAAGAATTTGGTATTGGATCAATCAATAAAACCCTAACTTATATTTTTCTATATTCTCGTCACTCATCTGCTTGATATTGTAGTGATATTGTGAGGAGAAATTCTGTCTTGGTCACAGATGGGAGTTGAAGGGTTAAACAACGGGCTGCGGTGTCAGGTTTTGAGTCCTCTCATAATGGCATCATTACAATGATTATTAGTACGAACACAATCTCAATTGAATACCATCCCAAAGGCTCTTTTTTCTTCCAGTCTCTTTTGAGGGATTACTTTGAACCGAGTGAGGGAAACTTAGATAAAAGATGAGACGAGGAGGGCTTATTTTAAGTAGTGGTAGATGAAAGGGAGTAACATGATTATTTTGCTAAATGGGAAGTTACTTATTTAGCGGGAAGCTTCTGGAAAAAAAATGCTTCACATTAGACTCTACAGGAAATTACAACTATGCCACAAATCAATTTCGTGGCCTGAGGTTATCCTAAGTTAGCGGAGACAAAACTTCTAGCGCCAACGATGTTTCATCTTCAAGGAAAAACTCTGCCGAACTCAACGATAAGTCGCGTTTCCAAAAGCATAGCAAAAACTTCGCGAGATGTTGCTGTTGAACTCAGACACGTACTGTTGCTTTGTAGTATTGCAATAGTGGTGTTTGAGTTCTTTCATGAAAAGTTTTAATAACAGTTCATATTCATAATTTAGGTAAGGGAAGTTTTCAAGAGTGACAGTACCTTCCATAGCACGGATGTCACAAGATTTGAGTAAGAGGCAATTGAACGAATTTAAGTAGCCAAACCACCCATTACCACCTCATGTGATGGCATTCATATATTCATCCATCCATTAATTCCTCCATTAATCTATCCATCCCTTACTCCCTTCGACTATCCACTCATTTACCCACCCATTAATCCTTCCCTCCCACCCTCCGTCTGTCCTTGCCTAGTTCCCACCTTTCATTCATTCATTCATTGATTCAACTATCCATAAATCCATTCATTCATCCTTCCTGTCTTACACCCATTAATCCATCCATCAGATCTTTCCCTTCCTTAATCTATCACTTCTTGCCTCTTTTCATCCATCCATCCACCCATCCATTTCGACATCGATCCAGTCTTGTCAGTCAGACTCAAGTTTGATCATAATCTAATTCCGTTTGATGACGTTTTCATCTGCAGAAAAGGAAGTGTGATCATTCTTTTCGCGCTAACTTTCAAAGAAGTAGTTCGAACAGACAGAAAAATCACTATTTTAAAAAATGCTGCCAGTGACGGAAGAATTGGTGTGTTAGATGTTGATCCAGTCTCCGTCATGGCTATCCGTGAAACTAAAGAACCTGCCACCAGTAATTTAGGATGCAGGCCGTCAAGCTCACCAGAGAGCTCAGGTATTTTTTTCTGCCCGTTTGTAGAGTAATGTGGGACAAGGAAAAGTTTACAATCTCACTGAAAGGTTGAAATGAAACTAAGATCAGTGCTATAGAACTTTTCCGAAATATTTTAAAGGTGGTACGTCTCTAAAAGCATCTAGGGTAAATGAATTTTAAAAAAATAATAATAAAATAACAAGGTTCTCTGCTGAAACTTACGTACTTTCCTTCAGTGTGATCTCTGACATCAATGAGAAATAATCCTGTGGCAAATAGATGGTTACTTAGCTCGTGTGATAAACTAGGTTAAAAAGGCCTTGCTTCCTGAGGTAGCTGGTAAAGGCTAACAGAGCGGTTTTAGCGTAGTAAGTGTGAAAGATTTCTATTAGAGACGTTTATACTCCTATGGCAGATAAACGAGCCTGGTAAGCTTTAAAAAATAATCAGCGATTTTCTGATTTGCTCCGCAGCTTGCTCAAGTGACAATAAAATATTTGGAGCAGTGATAGGAGTTCTTGTTTTCGTAATCATTGGCCTGCTTATTTTTATATTCTTCCTGCAAAGAAGATCAGGTAACTGTAACATAAATTGTAGCTAACAGATAACAAACTAAACTGGGAAGATTCCATGACAGTGAACTTGAAAACAGTGTGGAGTTCCATTGTTTTTCTAACGATGTCATGTGAACAGCGACACCTACTCTGTATACTGCTTGTCTTCTTTAGGCGATAAGGCCGAGAGGTAAAGGGTCATCCCATAATAAGCATCTTCCACTGCCGTTTTTACTTGGTTTCACGTGACGTTAGTCATGTCTTAGTCGAAGGTGTCTCATTCACACACGCCCTTTAGTTGAAGGCGGCAACGAAGTTGTCCAGAGGCCGAACTATAATACGAAACCAAGATCGCCCACTCATTATCTGAATGTCTGTTGAAAACTAACCAATCATCTCGGAGCTTCATGTTTCCTATGAGGTGACTCATATCCATCCAAAATGTTCGCCTGATGAAGAATAACAGTACACCTCGAAATTAAGCATCGCAATCCATATCAGATCGCACTTCACAGTGTAGCATAAACGGTTACACTTTCCAGTATAACCAAATCTAAAGAGGCCGCATTTAGGACTTTAAATTGTTTCTAAATTGCCTTTCCTTCGTTTTGTGTTAAAAGATATTACAACCTAGCGGTGTTTGCCCCATAATTCCCAGAATGGTTAAACTTCTGTTATAGTTAAACGATGGACACCACTTTTTAACCAAAGCTGCGTCCAATTTAAAGTTGGAGTCTTAGTTTTCACTTAAATTCAGGTTTAATGTTCATATGGTATTTAAGTTGAATTTTCGATATTCTTCACAGCCGCAGAATTTCTATCAGCTTAACAAACAAAAAAGAAAAGTTTAATATAGATTTATTATTTGTTGTTATAGTAAGTTTCGTTTCTTCGTTTAGGAATTGAATCCAAGCAAAGGTAAGTAGAAACTTTCCCGCAATTATTGTTTCTAAGCTGCCGATGATCTTTCGTATTTTTTCAACAATGTTTGGTTCACCTTTGTCACCATGTAAGACTTCAATATAAGCCTTTTCAGATAAATTATGAGCCTTCCGCAACTGATTTACTTGGAGTAAGTATTAAATGTTTATTACAAAATATTTGGTAAAAGAAAAACAATATTTATCAAAAAAGCTAGTCTTATTGGACAGAAATCGATGTATCAGGAAGGTGTACCTTTGTCTCTACTTTCTTTCAAGGAGATGTGAAATGGTCAGAGAGGAGACTCAGCCCAGACCTCTTAGCGTAAGTTGAATATCACGGCTGTATCTAACTTCGGATCAAATTTAAAGAATCTCTGTCTTTCATATTTCCTGCTTACAAGTTGCCTTCTATCAGCGGTCGTCACTGTGGATATTACCGACCAGAGCATAGTTGAAGAGACTACTATCGGCAGAAAATTTTTCTTGAAAATTTGTTGAGGAGGGATTGTGACAAATTGAAATTCTGTGTAGAAACGATGTCTTGGTTATAATTGCTTAGTGAACTCCTGCAACAATTAAATACTTTGTATATCAACATTTTTCAATTTTCCATAGAAACACTTCCATTTTTCTCGCACAGTTAAGCCTAATTTTCCTAAAACGTGCCTAAAACCCGACATGAAGGTGTCAATTATAATACTGCATAAGCCCTGTTTTTACATTTTAGATTCTTTGAAACAGCTTTAAAGGTCCTACTTATGAAAAACTTTGAAAACGCACAATTACCCAGGGTGGATTCAACTACCTAACATCGTGTTATCAACCTCTTTAATAATGTTGTTCTTCTTTTCCTTTGAAGTATGAAATTTCCATGTCTAGACTTGAACAAGTTGTAATGCAGACAAACCGCGTAACCATAGAAGAATCTTTGGCAGAAACATCGGAAACAGAGGTTGATACAGAACTGATAGATACTGGAATCGCTGGATACGAGTCGGCCTTGCCGGTCACCAACTCCTCTTGGAAAGTTCCACAAGAAAATGTGTCTGTAAGAGAAACAATAGGCAAGGGAGCCTTTTCTCAGGTGGCCAGGGGAACAGTTAAAAATCTCCAAGGGGCTTCTGAAGTGACAGTGGTTGCAGTTAAAATGCTGAAAGGTAGAAACTATCACTGTTTGAATCTATGGACATTTCTCTAAATGGCTTAGACGCATCCACCGCCTTTCTACACCACCTTTACATGCATTCCTTTCGGGAATGTCATTCAAGCCTATCATGTAAACTTCAAGTCGATGGCTTTTGTTTAGTCGCCATGTAGGGCCTAAGATTTGTTTTCCATAGAGCCAGAATACTTTCTTCAATTTTTATTCGAAAGACTTGATTCCTCTAAAGCCAGGAGACTTTCTTCAACTCTTACCGCGGAAACAGACCTCAAGAGCAGAAGATAAACGGAAAAGAACAAACAAGCGAGTGTTGAAAGAATGTGACAACTTCTAACCACAAAGCAAATGTCTGACAAATAAATTTTTAGCCTCATTTTCTATAAAATAGAAAAAAAGGAACCAGCGTATTTAATGGTAGGTTAGAAATGATTGATCTTAAGTTTTAAGACAATATTTGACTAGCATCAACAGTTTAGTATACGCTCGACTGCAAAAGCGTTGACATTTAAAGAGGGTTTAAAATAAACGATGAGACCTCACGGCTTTATAGGCCAAATGTAAATAATAGCCACCACTAGATACCCGTGGCGAATGATAACAGCTATCCAGGCTTTCGTAGATGAAAATAATTATCATGGAAAAAAGAGATTTCGCATGAAAAAGGGGGAAAAGAGAATCACTTATTATGTATCTGTGCGAAAATTTCCCATAAAGCCATAAAGTTGGGTCTCATTACATTTAGGGGGGAAATATTTTTACAATCGAGTATACTTTTTATTCGGCTTACTCCCACATTTTTTCTACTTTTGAATAACAGAAAACGCTCCTACCTCTGATAGGAAGGATCTGCTGTCAGAGCTTGACCTAATGAAGCAACTCAAACCTCATCCATACGTCATCAAACTACTAGGATTTGTTGCTGGTAACGTATAAAAAAATTGAAAAAAAATTGAAATAAATAAAGTAAAAAGAAAAAAGTCTCACAGTGCAAGACAGACGAAAAATTCACAAAGGGTTAAATTTTAAAACGCATTTTTCCATTGACAGAACCGTTATTGGTGTTGACTGAGTATGTTCCATTTGGAGACCTGCTCGGTTATTTACGAAAAAGCCGAGGACTAAACGACAGTTACTACAGCAACCCGAAGTTCACAGCAGAAACCAGTTTGACGGCGGATAAACTGATGAAGTTTGCTTGGCAGATTGCCGATGGAATGAGCTACTTGTCCACTAAATGTGTAAGTTAGTTCACAGGCTGTCGTCAGTTCACTCTGCTATCTAATACTCCTTTAGTAGAACCGCGCCAAGTCATTACTTCGGATTTGACCCCATTTTTCCAGTCCTGCATTTGACGGCAATTGAAGCACTCGCTAATGTAAGATTTGACATCAAAATCAGTCACCCTCTTTTCCCGGTAAATAAATAAGCTGACTCAAACCAGTTGTTGCATTGGCTGTTTCATGATTTATCATAAGGATGTACAGAAAATGTGTAAGCATTGTAATTATGCATGCTATCTCAAATCAAGCATTTGGCTTTTCTATATCTTTCGGAGCAGATAATTCATCGAGACCTGGCAGCACGCAACGTGTTGGTTGGAGAAAATGAGACCTGTAAAGTGACGGACTTTGGAATGGCCAGAGATGTGCAGCAAGACAGCATATACGAAATGAAAACTACGGTACAATAAATTATCATGTGATTCGTTTATTGTACAACATAAAGTCGGCTTAAATCCAGGATAACCTAACTTACACGGAAACACTATCACGTTTTATAACATAGCTAGCAGAGCCGCGCAATCAAATTCAGTATACGTAAGCGTGCTCAAAATCCCCATAGTGCACGCTGATAGCGTGAGCAAATCGCTTCGCCAGAAATTTTATTTTTTCTCGCACGAGCGGCCATTGTTAGCGCGGGGAAAAATAATATATTTCGTGACAATAATGGATACAAACAGAGACTCGGCCCACCAGTCCCAAAACGAAGACAATTTTCCGACCTTTTCCCTTGGGCTAGAGTTCTTAAATGAGGCAAAAAAAGAGAAAAACAACGGAAAAGGAGACTCGGCATCAGCACCGTCACGATTCGCTTCATTGTCCGAGGGTGAAATGCAACACATTTTGACAGAAAGACACTCTGGTAAAACCAAACAAATGACAAACAATGGTCTGTTTCAACCTTCAAAGGTAATCTTAAATTTTTCCGTTTTAAGTAAAATAAAAGTCGAGCTTTCAACTGAAAATTTGAAATAAAACCAATTCCTAGTTTGCTTAATATTTGGCTTACCTCGAACAATCACTTCTGATATTGCTGTCCTTTTTTTCGCGTCGGATTTGATGCACAATTCCGCCGGCTATGTTATAAAGCAATTGGTTCATGCTTTTAGCTGTGCTCTCTTACTCCCAAAGAGATGATTTCCATCTTTCTTTTCTTCTTTTTTTATATACTGGTCAACAGTACAAATATGCATGCATTGCATTTAACAATTGGTTCATGCTTTAGCGTGCACTATCGAGTTATGGAACACGTGGGAAGTTTGGAGAGCATTCATGAAGCTAGAGTTGCCCCCGGTTATTGCCACGGGCAACTCTTACGCTTCTTTCGTGCTCTCCAAACTTCCCACGTGCTCCATAACTCGATAGTGCACGCTAAAGCATGAAAAAATTGTTAAATGCTATGCACGTAAATTTGTACTGTTGACCAGTATATAAAAAAAGAAGAAAAGAAGATGGAAATTAAGAGAGCCCCTACCGTTATGTTGCTAGTGAAAACCTAGTGCCATGTGCTCATTGTTTTCCATATTATGATGACTGAGAATTAATGGGTTTAGATAAACTAGAGCACCAGAATATTTATGATATATTGTTTATATCGGCAAGCTAGTTTTTAACTGACATCAATTTGTTACAGGTTATAGATAAATGACAATGTACCTAGTTTTAAAAATCAAGATGAAGAAGTTAGAAGAAAGCCCCTGTTATGCTAAATTTTATCAATAGATGCTGACTTGTGAACATTGAAAAGAGTCATTCAACAAAATAAAAACAGCTTGTAAAGAACAGAATGTAGAGGGTGGTTTTCCTGTAGCTTGTGGCTAGTGAAGTACGTAAAATTCACCTGAAACTCCTCAGCTGCTGCTTTTTAGAGAGCAGTTGACTCAAATTGCAAAAAGAGATACATGTTTATTATAACAATTTCATTAAATTTCAGGGGCGACTTCCTATCAAGTGGACTGCATACGAGTCGCTTTTCTACGGGACGTACACCACCAAGAGTGACGTGTAAGTATTGACTGATCAAAGTGCCAGTAACCCCACGCCTTAATAAATCAGTTTTACCGAAACAGCGTAAACGTGTAACGCTAAATTGAAATTTTACAGCGTTGGTAGTCATTACTTGAACTCAAGTACTTAGAAATTTTTATTCTGATTTCAATCATAACATATGCGGTAAGAGAAGCGCAAAAATAACTTCTAACAAGATGGATACTTCTCTGTTACACAGCGCACAAAAAAGGGAAAACGATCATCATTTCAGTAACTAGAATTATTTTTTTCCACACATACACAAAAAAAACAAAACAAAAAAAAAACTGGTACCACCAAGCTACAAGAATTATATCTGTCCCTTAAATGATTAGGGCTCTGCTCATCTATAGAAGTAACCATGATAAGTGAAACTAAATGTTCACATTTTTACAGGTGGAGTTACGGGATTGTCCTCTATGAAATCTTTACACTGGGTAAGATTTTTTAATGTGATTTCCTGTACCCTGGAAGTATTGTAAATAACACTTTATAGCCATCGAGAAGAGCCATCTTATCTCATCCGTACTAATTGCAATACAATTAATACTAGATGAAAAGGTATTGATAGTAGCCAAGGTTTTGATATCTCACTTTATAATCTACCAAGTAACTTTTCTCACGCGCGATTGGTTTAACGCATAACGTATTCGAATATGCCCCGAAAATGAAAAAGCGTTCAGCTATTGTTACTGAAGAAGGGAAATGTTTGTTTGTTCATTAAGCCGAACCAGACAAACACTGAAAGGTAAATATCCCACGCAACAGACAATAAGCTGTTCGTAACATTTTTACTGCGCGTTGCGTAAACATTTTGAAAATGATAAACATAATAGCCTCCAATTGGCGCGAAAATATACTAGTACATTTGTCCTTCGATGTTGTCTGGTCGTCATCATCATCATCATTTATTAGCCATTTGAGATACAATATTTATACCGGTTTAACAGTATGGTAGGGCGAAGTGACCTCCAAGAAACCACCAGGCTTTTAGGGTAGGCCACCTCGGTTGTCAATATGTTTGTAATTAAGATGTGGATGTAGATGTGTGGCTTGGCCAATTCGGACTCATTTTATTAAAAAATTAATCCTCTTTAAAAGTGAAAAGCCAGTCAAACTGGTAATCGATATTGAGAGAGAATTCCATATTTTAGGACCTTGGTAGAGTACTGTAAATTGTTTAAGATTATTACGAAAGTCATGTGGTCGATAGCAATTGGCTATGTATCATAATTGCGTACTTGCTTATTTGCAGAGAACCATCTGAGAAACATCGGGGGCAATGGTTGGTTATGATAAAACATAAATTCAGCTATTTGCAATGCGTTGACTTGGGAAATATCTAAGATGCCCCGTTTAGGAAATATGAGGCAGTGTGTTCTCGATAGTCTTCGAACCTTACAGTTTTCCTTGAGCTCCACCCTCGGAAAACTGTTTGCATATCTGAACGGATAACGTGGACAAAAATCCGCGCACATTTTCGCGTCAAATGGGGGCTATCGTTTACATTTGCTGTAATTTAGATTGCTTATCACTTTTAGGTGGATCGCCATATCCTGGTATGGAAGGAAAAACGGTTCCAGGTTGGCTCAAACTTGGATATAGGATGCCAAAGCCAGTACACATCGACGACAAATTGTATGAATTTCTTCAAATATTATTAGATTTTAGAACAGTTTATGTTCACCTCAACATAGCCTTGATACCCTCGTGGTGTCCTTTCCTTCGAAACTTCCTGGCGCTGATTAAAACGAGTACAATAGTTTATTTTGTTTCAACCCACGCTAACTTGATTTCGATTATGTCAACATCTCCCTTTTCATGATGAGAACTAAGTACCGCTATAATCATACGATAGAAAACAAACCTCTTGTTTGTCTCAGATATTAAGTGATGTTAGAATGCTGGCAAATAGAAGTGAACGAAAGACCGACATTTTTTAACCTTACAAAGAAACTTAAAGTAATGGAAAACCAACACAAGGTATAAACTTCTACTCCAACAGTATTTTAGCTACAAAAACACTAGGTTAAAGCTATTTCAATTATGTTTACAAGTTTTGAAATCTGGTTGATTCCTAAAAATGCTCATTAAGCCACCAAAAATGTTCCGTGTTTGTTACGAGCATTTGGCAATCAGACGACAGTTCATGTAGGTACTACGTCCGATGCCATAACGTTGCTGTGGCGTCAACTAACTAGGATCAATGGACATTTTTTATCGAATTACAACATAATGTGGAGGGTAAAGTAGAATTACAGTAAGGGTTTAACGTTGAATCTTTCCCTTGTTATTTATTTTTTTTTTTATTTTTTTTTTCATCATTTGCATTTTTTATTTTTCAGAAGCTAATCCAGATGGCGAAGTATGACAACACACTTTATGTGAATGTCGACGATTTAGTTGTCTAGTATTGAGACGAGACGTTCATTTAGAAAAGGGACAAAAGGAAAAAACTCAATTCATTAAAACACATGAGCAATCGGGTTTTGAAGCTCTTTAGATAACCTTTAGATAATCAATAGGAAAATCGTCTAATTAATGTCGTTTGTACAAATGATTTTCGTCAGATATTTCTTTTAAGATCGATTCAATACCTTTCTAACCTTTTCCACTTTTTACGACTCACTGATATTCTTCTTGTTAGCGTTCATTAACAGTATTAAGTTCGTAACAAGTTCATATACAATGTACAGCTGTTTCGAGAAAGTTTGTCGGAAAAAAGGGCAAAAGTGCACCCGACAATCTCGAATGGAAAGCTTGGTATCTTGTAGTCAATAAAATTGCTCAAACCGTGGTGCCTCGTCCTGACAGTGACGTCTCCGAATACATTAACATTAATGTTAGTCTGCTTTTCAATTTATCATATTTTTTTACAGACACTGGAAATTCAATATCAAATTGAATATATAATAATAACAAAATCTAATTACATTAACTTTAAGTGAGCACTAACTCTGGAAAACAAACAGTTGCCTATACAGAAACTACTCTAGGGAAAAAATCTTAGTAGACTTAAAACACCTAAACATCCTTAATCTCTTTCAAAAGAAACCTCATTTTCTGTCATAGCAATACTCCGAACTGTGTTATAAATATTATTTTAATACTGTAAATCCGTAATGTACGAGAAAGAATAAAGTAGAGTAAAAGTATAGGGGCCTAAACTGCATTGAGATCATGCAGAAGGGAGCTTTTCGAGTTAACTAATGTTCCAGGTAAGAACTAAGAGAGCTATTAAACACAAATGAGAAGCGCAGGAATTCCTTGACAAAGTAATGGACAGGTTTTTTTGATTGACAATATTTCTTAACTCTTTCTTAAATTTTCTCAACTCTTAGTTCTCTGCCTATCACACTGCCGACGACCCTTTTTATTTGCCTCCCTGATTTCGGTTATTCGCATTTTTATTCTCGACCCAGTTACCTCTCCTAGTTATTACATAGAACATTACGGATCCTCTTTAAAAAAAAAGAGTACGTCAAGACAGACTTGACAACCATCAAGTCTCCTGGGTCCATTTCATCTAGTTCGGAGAGTGGGACATTTGCGACGACTTCCCCTGCACTTATTTTCTTTGTCGTAACCACCTTCTCTTCGCAGGAATCAGGCATCAATACTATTCTTCAATACTATTCTATAGAAATGAAGCGCAAAGTAATTAATTAATTATCTGTGGTGAATCAATAAAGTGCTAATTCCATTTAAATCATTTCATATTCAAAGTTCCAGTTTAAACTTGTAAAAATACGCAATTGATAGTTGTCGTAAATAGATTTAGCGAAATGCAAGAACTTTGACTTGTTATCACCAACGATCATCTATCCTCTGCACCGCATTTCAGACTCAAGAGCTAAAATCTATCCCTAATTTTTGAATGATTCCCTAGCCTTTTTCCCGTTACCATTGGCGCCACTGCGTACACCAGCCCCAAGGACAGTCCCGCAGATCTTAGATGCGCCCTCCATTGTTTCCATTCGGGCAACTGTACTCGGTGCTAAACAGGTTTGGCCCTCTGATATAGCTCCATCTTCCTCTCCTCCAGCGGAAGGACAAAACACTTTCCTCTTCGAGAATCCAGTTTGGCTTGGTTTTCTGAAATGAAAACAAACGATCAGTACATATTCAAATCATTTCAATTTTTTTTCATTTTATTTTTTAATTCAAGTATCTCACCTGGAAATGCATCAGGCCCCGCAGACGCTGGACCTCTCCTTCCTGGAGAACAGTGTGGGTCAAGGCTGCATTTATCGTGTGCCGAGGCACATCCTTTTGCTTTACGATGGCAATGCATCCAGCCACCATGCACTTGAGAGCTTTTCCTGAGCACTTGCCCAGATGCAGCGTCAAGTAGAGCCTTTAAAAGAAATAAAGTGGAGAATAGAGATAAGCTGGTAACTCCACCTTTCAATATTGTTGTTGGCCTTAAATAACCATTTACCATTTGAGTGTTGGTTGTTAGCTCACCGTGGAAGGTTTGTTCCACAGCCTAGTGGACATGAAATTCTCACATTTAAACAAATAAAAGCAGCATGCTCTTCAAAACATTCCCTATGCACCTTCCTTCCGCATTCCTGGCAAGGAACTTTCTGCTTTGCACAATGCGAAATGTGCGCTGCCATCCCCTCCCTAGCCAGTACCTTTCTGCAACCTTTATTTGCACACTGCATTTCAAATTCTCCACGTATTTTGAAGTGTTGTTCATGTGCGTGGAACTTTCTTGTCCACAGACAACCGCTATTTTTAACAATTAACATCAAAGTTTCCGATGATGTCGTCGAGTGCTATGTTGACGTGAAGAGCAGCGCCTTTCCCAATTGGTGCTTTGCAAAGTGGACATTTGAGGACATTCTCAATACCTACAAGTATCGCGAGGCAGTGACGACAGCCCAAATGCCCACAAGCCGGAGCTACAGGCTTCACCATTTTCAATAAGCTTCAGAGTAAAAGATAAACGGTTACGTTACTGATATGGATAATTTGCCGCGTATTCGTAAATAAAAATAAAAACTGATCTGACAGCAATCGACCCATGAAATGACAGTTTTTTTATTATTAT